GAATCTTTCATATTCTATTTGGTTATGCAGTTTTGCCTAAACTAATTCTTATTTCATGTACACCAAAACCGTCCTTTCATTCACTCAATTCTCTAATTTATGCAAACTCTTCAAAATTTTGTGTAATGACTAAGTAAACCTTGAATTTCTAATACTGGACAAGTAACAACTCATTGCTTTCAATATTCCTTAGTTATTTTCTAGTGATTTGAAACTTGTGTGCACTTTTCACAACTTCTGTAATGATCACATGATCCAGTGAATGAATCAGTTTACGAACTTCATGTAATGATTGCATCAACTCATCCATTTGTGTTTTCGGATTACATCTACAAATAATTTCACATTTGTTCTTGCATGGATAAGTGTGGTATTAATTGAGAATCACCGCTACTTATTTTTTCCGTCATCAATATCAATTTCTGTATATTATATCATACAACGCGATGGTACACTCGAATACATAAACAGTTGTAAGCAGCTAATGAGAAACAACGAAATATGATGAATTCATATAGTTCTGCCTGGATGATTTTGTCCTAACTTTACTAAATTCGTAACAGGAATCAATTGCATGAAATAAGCAAAAGTATCAAATATGAATGTAATTAAATTCTGATAAGTTTCAGTTTTGTCAGTGAGTTTGAATATGACACGATAAGCACAAAATATTTGTATTCATTCTTAGCACTAAATACTAGCTGCTTGGTGTTTTTGCTTCTCTTAATTCTTTAAACATTTTTTTGAATAAAATATTAATAGTTTTCACTCGTTAGTTAGTTTTTTTTCTTGAGTGGACAGGTTTCCTACAATTACGTTATGCCATCCAGCTTACAAAACGACTAGTTCTCAACATTATTCAAATAATAAAACATAATTTTGAACCAACTGACGAACAGAAGAATGAATTTAAACACCCAAGTTGTAGGTTCTTGAATTCGTGAAGTTCTCAAGAAACTGTCAACACAATATTTTTAAAATTCATTTCTAGGGGTAATTTCAGTCTTTCGGCTTTCTGATTTGAAGGACTGCAATGGATCAGACACTTTGGGCATATTTGCATCTGGGCCACATTTCCTCTATACTATCATCAAGTCAAAAGGATTTTCAGCTTAAAACACTTTTTCTTTTCATGCAGAACAATTTTTTTAAAAGTATTTTGTGTTATTGGAACGTTCTGTCCTACGACATGGTGTTATTTATTCGTATTTCAATAAATAGTATTCACTTAGGTATTAAATATCATTTTAGACATTTGATAAAATGGCTACAAACAAACGTCATTCTTCATTCATTCAAGCATTAATGAATTTTAGTAAGTGTAAATAGAAACTAATTAAGTTACTTTTCTTAATTATTGTTCGATACTTTTTATTTCATTTTCTTCAGTCTCATTAATTTTTTGTTATTAAGGATGACACAAATGAATGAACTGAGAAGAGAAAATTCTATTCGAGTAATTTTGAGCAAAGTAAAGTAAAAATGAAACCAAATAAGAAAATAATACCAGGATGAATGATGTTTGTTTGAACGAAAAAGAATTTTTTTTTCCGATTGAAATCATTTAATTTTCGAAGGGTATAACCAACAAACAAAATTGCGTAATACAATATAAAGCATTGTATTATTCAACTGTTTAACAGAATCATTATTTCCATTATTTTGCGTAAAATAATTAGCCTGATGAATGATAATTCATTCATCAACCAAAATGTTTTATTGGAAGAAAGAGACAATATTGCAAAAAATGGCGAAAGATGGTGTGTTCACGAGTATAAACAGAATGGAATTTCGCTTACTTGCTTACCTATGCCTGTAACCACCAACGAAGCATAGGCCACCGATCAGCATTCTCCAACCAACACTGTCCTGGGCTTTCCCTTTTTAGTTCTGTCCAATGGTTGTTCATTCTTCTTATGTCTGTCTCCGATTCTAAGGGTAGTGTGTTTTCTATTCTTCCTCTTTCCTTTTGGCCTTAAAAATACCAAGGGAAGGCTTGTCTTGTGACGCAGTTAGGTGCTTTCCTCAATGTGTCCTATCCACTTTCAGCGGCGCTTCGTCCTGACTTATTTCTCTGTTGGAATCTGGTTTGTTTTGTCCCAGATGCTTCAGTATATGGCCTACGTGCTGTTATTTCACATCAGTTTCCAGACGCGTCAGAAAAAGCCGTTATGCATGCATTCCGTACACTAACCCCAGCAGAAAAGAAGTATAGCCAGATAGAGAAAGAAGCTCTTGCTCTTGTGTTTGCTGTGCGCCGTTTCCATAAGTTTCTGTACGGTCGGAGATTCACGCTCCTCACAGATCACAAGCCTCTGTTAGCAATATTTGGTTCAAAGTCTGGCATTCCAGCCCATTCTGCAAATCGTCTTCAGTGATGGGCCTTGGTACTTTTGGGGTATGATTTCGAAATCCAGTATCGACGTACTCTACAATTCGGTCAAGCAGACGCTTTGTCACGACTCATTAATGATTAAGTGGCGGCTGAGGAAAACATGGTGATCGCATCTCTGTCACTAGAAGACCACGCAGAATGTTATCTGACAACCGCAGTTCGCGCATTACCGGTGTCTGCAACAGACATACAAAATGCTTCTAGAAACGACCCCATCATCAAGATGACGATGAAATATGTCACTAACGGTTAGCCGTCGAAAAAGTTTGAAGGTGACATGAGGCAACTGTATCAGCGGCGGGAGTCACTATGCATCGTGAACGATTGTCTGATGTTTGGTGAAAGAGTAGTGGTGCCAGAATCCCTTCGTGCAAAAGTGCTGAGACAGTTCCATCTTGGTCATCCTGGGATTAAACGAATGAAGTCCATAGCCAGGAGTTATGCATACTGGCCTCACATGGATCAACATGTCACAGCGTTGGTTGAAAAATGAATGCGGTGTCAGCAGGCGGCAAAGATGAATGCGAGATAATTCCGCAGGTTTCATGGCCCAAACCTGAGCACCTGAGCACATGTCGACTTCGCTGGCCCAATAAATAAAACTATGTATTTATTGTCGTCGACGCCTTTTCTAAATGGCCGGAAATCAGCCCCGTTATGCCGCCCACTACAACTAAGACTATACAGCTCCTAACTGAAATTTTCTCACGAAATGGCATACCAGATGTGGTCGTATCCGAAAATGGCTCTCAATTCACCTCTACCCAATTCCAAACTTTCTGTCACCCGCTAGCCATTAAACACTTACGCTTGCCACCATACCACCCGCAATCGAATGGGCAGGCGGAAAGGTTTGTGGATACGTTTAAAAGGGGAGGGGACACCAGCCGACGCGTTACAAAATTTCTTGTACGTCTATCGGACAACACCAAATGAATTGTTACCAGAGCAAAAGTCCCCAGCAGAAATCCTGATGGGAAGAAGATTGAAAATGATTCACAGCCTGAGGCATCCGACTAATGCACCCACATCAGTAGAGATAAAGCCGCAAAGACAATCCGCTTACGAAGTGGGATGCGACTACATAACGAACCATAGTCCTTGGGCAGAAGCGAGAGCGGTCAAAAGAGTTGGTCGAGTTATGTACGAATTAGAGGTAGGAGGTGATAAATGGTCACGTCATCGAAATCAGATACGCAGACGGCTAGCCCCAGATCGCCCATCAAGAGCAGAGATCCTTACCTTTGACATCTTGCTTGATACCTTCAACCTACCGGCAGCCCCGCCGCGAGAAGAAACTCAGCAGCAAGCTGTTCTTCCTTCCCGAAGGTATCCTCTTAGACAGCAGCGAACAATAGTCAAGATGCCATTCGACCCCAGGAGAATACGCTATTAAAAAGGGAAGGAGTGTTGGGGGTATTAGATCCACAAAACTCGCTTGATAAATGCCTTATTTTGGTTTTCACGTTTGCCAGCATGGACTGATCAGTTGACCTTGAGACTTCAATTCCCACCAGGAAAATCCATGGCGGTGATTGGCTGCTGTGTATTTTAGTGTGCTATTTTCGTAACTGTCTCAAGGACGTTTCTACGATGTATAAATAAACGAGAGTTGTATGCTTGATTGCACTGTGATTGCTGGGTGTTTGTAGAATATACTTTCTACGCTTATCAAGACTTCTACTTTACCGTTTGGAATCAAGGTAGCCTACCTGGACGCTGGTAAAAGTCTCGTTCGCGTTTATCGACTAAGGTAAACTCGTAATAGCCTCAAGCATACTAAGTGACGAACCTAACAGAAACTGACATTGTCATAAGTCCTGGAAACATTGGTTTTGATCCCTTTCGATATCGTGAGTGAAGTCAGTTGAAAAAAAACTAGAACTAGAACGAAATAAATTTCCAGTCTTCAGTAGTTTTTTTACTTGGTTATCAGTTCAGAATAAAACTATCAGGAAATAAATTTCTACTATTCTTTACAGTAGAAGACAGTCCTGTTTGTTTTTCACGTGAAACTTGTCATTAGAGCTAATTATATTTGGCCTGGTGAATAACAAGCAAATCCACTATTCTATATTGGAAGAACATATCCATTAACGTTACCTGTTTTTCTCTGCACTGAGATCAGAATTCAGAATAAATCAATTCTAAACTTACAGATTTATAATCTAAGCTCTCGAATCATGACATCTACCAATAGGTGTGTAGTACTGATAAGCGATTACTGGAATTTGTATTTCTCCATTGTTGGTAAATTTGAACTCGATTCTTGAATTATTTCACAAAATAAACATAAGCATTATAATTGTGTAGAAATAAATCAGGAATTTGTTTTTTTTAGGTTGTCTGAATGTGTGACAGAGATATTGTATTTTCCTCTACTATAATAATTAGATTATAAAGTATGCGATCAGCTGTAAACTAAAAACACTTATCTGATAAAGCTAATGACATAACTAACTCTATGATTTATTAACATACGCTATTTAGCGACCAATTCAACCTTTATTAATGTAATATGAACGAAAGCAAAAATATTTCATCAATGGTTTATTTTGAAGTCAATATTAGTTTATACTAAAATATTTTTTTGACAAATTACACATCGGTATTTTTAATTTTCTAATATGTTTAAATAGCCTAATTATTATAATATCAAAAAAAAGCCCATCCATTTAGTCATCTAGCTGACATAGAAGAGCAGCTCCTCGTTTTATCCAATGGTTTGGATTGATACTTGTTGGCAGTAATATCGGTAAAACAAAATTGGTTGAATGTCCAGTGGTGGAAAGTGTACCACGTCGTTCACTTGTTTTATAAACTGGACAAATATATCGAATTAATTTGGTTGATAATGCTTCAAGTTCCTCACGAGTTGTCGGTTTCAACCAGATTATTGGCATGGGCTCATTTAAGACCTTTGGATGTTGTTCACCAAGTTCCATACTTCAAAATGTATATACACAAAAGAGACAGGCAAAGTTAGCGGAGACTAGATTAATCAATGATAAATTAATTAGTTAACATGAATTGTATACAATGAAAATATTATTTCAGGCGTGTCATCACCATAAGTGTAAGTATCGATACTGTTGGGTTGTTGGTCTCATTGCTTATATTTTGAAACGAGAATCACTGTCATTCTCACGACGCAAATTAAGAACTCAAAATAATGCTACAATGAAGAGTAATTCACTCTTCATAAACATGTCACAAAAAAAAACAAGTCTCAAATCACGTCATCATCAGATCAAAATACTATGATAGATTTTACATACAATAAAATAACGTAACACAAAGAATCACAGTAAAAATACACGCTGTATATTATTCACCTGAATTGGATCAGGGAATACAACTGTCACACTGAACGAAGTTCACAGCTATCATCCTGGCCGCAATTCATCATGAACCAATATAAGAGCTATTGGGCTAAATAAGCTTATCTGTCAGGCCAACACTCTAATTACTAGAAAATTTATGAAATTCAAAATATTTTACTTTGAACCGTTCTTATTCATGATATATAAAATGAAATACATTATAACACATTCAGTGCCTATTTACTTCTGAAAACATTGTAATTATTAGTCGCGAAACATAGGAATGCAATATTTATTTTAATCGTTATGTAAGTTGAAGGTTATACTCTTGTACTTATCTTTTACAGAATCTTTACAGAATCACTAGATCTAACACAATCACCAAAGGTGAACTTTAAAAACTTAATAATGAGAGCATGTTATCAGTTCAGAAAATGTATGTATGTCAGCTCGATTGAAAACTGGTATACTGGCTAGCACTTTGTTTTGTATTTCAGTACCAAAAACAAAAATTTTAAGTTTTTATTTGACTGTCTCAGAATAAAGGTATTTCATTCATTATAAAAATCGGTTACAATTGTATAAGAATTACCTTTCATAGTCCCAACGACATCCATCCAAAAATAGACCATGAATATAAGCTCCATTTGGAGGATCTTGAGTTTCTTTGTGTGTCGGAAGAACCTGATTACATTGAGTAGAAAGAAAACAATGATTTTCTAAATTGCAATCATTTAAGATTTTCATGTTTATTACACAGATCTACTTTCGATCTCACATTAAGGTAACCACTGATATTGAACTGGTGGTTTTAACGCGAAATATGCCACAGGCCTGTATCAAGATATGCATATCTAAACTTATTCGAATTCGAGTTGAAGATAATTATATTCAATCATACTCAGAATGTTTAAAATGATAAAAAACGATCTATAATTTACCACCTCAGAATGTTAATGAAAGTGATCCACGTATTAAATGCTCAATTTCTTCTATGCATATTATACATAGCAGGCAAATAGATACCAACCTCGAATTCCAACTGTGAACACTTAAACCGATAACAAATTTAGGCTATTAAAGGAATATTTCATGGACTAAATAATCAATGTAGAGCCCCTTAAATTTTTGCGCCAAATTCATCGTTCATATTACCATAAAGCGTTTTTAATCAAATATGTTATCAGTTCGTGATGAAAAGCATAACTTTTGACCTCAACCGAAAACAGTGTGAGAACTCAGAAAAATCGAATTCGGTTTTAGTTAGGGTTCCATAAAATGGATAATCTATGTTTATAAGGATCACTGTGTGCTGTTGATTTTTAGATTTATGCCCAAAGTTACCGGTGGAAGAACTTGATGGATCCATCAGTTACATCAATTCTGTCTGTAGTTTGTGACGATTTTCTTTCCTATAAACTATCCTTTCACAAAAGCTGCTTTCTGACTGGCTAAGAACTGCCGGAAGATTCATGGTTGTTATTTTAACTTAGTACCTAAACTGTTCTCTTACCCTAGTCAAACCGGTTGTCATGACCGATTTTCAACAACGTTCAATGGATGTTGAACAGCACTCAACTAAAACACTAATTTGAGTTCACAATAAACAAGGCACTAACATAGTCTACGAAATCAAATCAAACAGAAGAGAATAAACATAAAAACTCTGAATAAAAGACCTATAACATGTGGGTAGTTTCTTTTGAAATGTGTTAAATACAAGTGATACAATAAAGAAACAAAGTATCTTTGGCTAAAAAAAACACCAAATGACACTTTTTGCAATCATATCTACTCACAGATGAACAAAGAGATCATCAAAATACCATATAATATACTTAACGTTTCATTAGGACTTTACAATCATGTTATTTAAAAGCTATCAACAATCTATTCAGTACTCAATTTATTCGAAAATGTTAAATCGAATCTTGGTAATGACACTTATATCAGAATGTGATAGAGATTTACCCCTAATCACAAGTAACGGATCTCAGGCGTATTTAACAGGTAACGTGTTTAATAAAAACATAATTACATTTTTTAAAATTTTGTCATCGTTCAAGTGATAAAACTAAGTCTACAGATAAACATGAATAATGATTTACAAAACAAAAGACAAAACTTATAACTTCTCTTCCATATGATATTCATTTTATTTTTATACAACTTACCTGAAAATCAAAGGTCAGTAGATCAATCGGGATTCTTGTTCGACGAGCATAATTTTGTAACACGCCAGTTAAAAATGCTTGGGTGAAGAAAAATCCAGATACCCAAAAGGTTGATGGCTTATCATTGATAAACCATTCCTTAGTGTGTCATTTTTTTGTTGGGAAACAAAATAAATAATTATCAGTTAATGTGAAAATGTAATGCGAAAGAAAATACCAAAGAATTCAATTATACTTTTTTTAAGGAAATCTAATTTTTTTTTTTTGAAAATAGATTAGGATGGAATTTCAACTGCTGACTTATAATATGTATTTTTTTTTAATGTCCTGTCTTTAAACAGTGGCTAATTTTAAAGTTCTTTTGAAATCACTCCTTTTAGTTTTGAAAAACAATTTTTTTGAATATCTCGACTGAAAAAATATATTGGATTTTGGATTAAAGACCGAAATGTGGGAAGTAAAATGTTAGGACGGATTTTCAGTCATCATTTAGGAGAAAAAATACTTTTACTTCGAGAAAGGTTTTGGAATCATTGGTATTTCGCAATAATAATAGAAAAAAATTCACTTCTAGTGAAGGTGATATGATATGGAATGAAATGAATTCCTATAAACAACTTTTTACACAGCAATTTGCTGTGTACTAGTGGAAACTTAAAAGGTACCGTTTTCAACTTAATTTTTGTCAATAATTTCAAATCATTGTCACGTATATTGAATACTACTGCGAAAATTTCACTAAATATTGTAATGCTTTTATCCGTTTCTATTCAACGATCACCATACAACTTTTTATTTCGAAAACGATATTGTTTATTTACATTTATTGGTTTAATTTGAAACACTGAACAGTTTTAATGACGTAATACACTCGTCTATAATAAAGAAATCTCTTGGGAAAATAATAGCTATTTCTTTGTTTACCAGAAAAGTGAAATTATATATCGCTAAATATTATACCCAATGGGAACAAACGACGCAAACTTACTTGAAAGAAATTTAACCTTCCAATAAGATCACTAATATACGATCCAAGCGGTTTTAAACTTGGATATGATCGACCTGCCCATAAGGCTGGTAATTTTCCAATCGATAAAGCTGCTGCTAAAGATTCCAAACTATCAGACATAATTGCAAGACCTTTAATTGCTTTCCGAAGATCACTCAATGTTGATTTGATGACTGCTGTCAAACTATAAATTAGAAGTAAAAATTTAAGTAGTCGTATAATATTTTCTAGTTAGCATGATCCGACTTTTATTGTTAAGGATACTACTTGTAACCGCCCCAAGAAAGAGCTCGTCTCATAGTGAAGAGTTAGTAAATTTGATTATTATCAAATACAACAAAGAGATTTCATATAATCGGTATAATGTTAGCCTGGTAATAAGCTTATAATTCTATTGGTCAGTGAATTTACAGTTATCATCATTTTACCAGATAAGCTTCAATCTTGTCAATTTTAGAGTTAACTACGTATACAAATTTGACTGTGTAACATAAAACTAAGCTCTTCGTTAGTTAATTGTTCTGGTTTTGGATATATGGTCTATGAGATTTTCAGGTCAGTGGAATAGCTTCTTTACCAAACTCCACAAATCTGTCAAAACAGTTCATGCAGTCAATCCCACATCTGAATAAGCAAGTGAGTTCTCTTCGTTACGAAGAAAATGAATACTCGCCAGTATTTTATTAAGTGGAATGGAAAATCAAAACTTCAAGTATATGAAGGAGAGATTTCAAGAGTAGGTACAAACTGAGGAAGTTATCAGTTGAAGACGATAGTTGACAGTCAGAATTTGGAAGATTTTATTGGCCGAATTCAGCATCATTTTCGTTCAAATTTTTCTCTAACTTTCGATTTCAAAGTTTGCCTATCTTAATTTATCGATTTACATTAATTTCAAAACACTAAGAGAACACTACTTTAAAAACAAAATGTTTCATGTATCAAAGGTAGTCTTAGTGGAAACTATCTTATGTGTAGTGGTAGTAGCGGTAATAATCGTGAATAGACAAAAAGATAAATTTATCGATTCACTGTGTCATAGGTATATAAAAACACCTCAAAAAGTCTTGTTAATTCAAACAATAGAAGTTGAAATCTATATGAGCATTTAAATAGCAAGTCTTCTCAAGTAAATTATGACAATGATATAAGCATTAAAAATGCCGCATGGCAAGTTACCATAAACAGTTAAGAATGGAGACTTATAGGGGTATGAAAGATTATTTTTGGGGATTAGACAGAAGCATTACCATTGTGTGTCAAAGAGAAAAGCGAGATATAGTTTGATAGATACCAAACTCTTCTATTGTTTAAAGGAGTCGGAAATAAAAAGAAAAGCCTGGAATGCGAAATAAAATACTTTAATCGCAATTTCGTGTTATGTTGATCAAAGAAATACATTTCAAGCAGCCAAATAATTATCACTACGTAATTCTGTTCACTTTATATTCATAATTCTTGTAATCATGCTTTTTACAGATAACTTAAAATTCAGTAACAGACAGAATGAATAATTAATTAGCATTATTCTAATTACTTTGTTTACATAAAGATAAATCTAACTGAGAATTACATTGAATTAAGTGTAATTTTAGTAGAGAACATACTTTCAATAAAAACAAATTAATATATGCAACTTAATCGACGATATAAAAACTGATGCAAATATCAACAGAAAGGTATCGACACTGAGTAATTTGTATGCACAAATTCTATATTAAACTTTTACATTATGAAGTGTATTTCTGCGAAGCTACATTACTCTTTGTCACTGTTTCGTCATTATGACTTAACTCTACCTCATTTTCGATCATTTGTTAAATTTCCATTGACACATTAAACAAAATTCATTAATACAATAACTGAACCGTTGTTATTTTCAAAGATCATGTATATGTACATAGAGAAATTATACAGACTGTGCACATGATATTCATATTTCCTGGAAAAAACGTCACATACACTCCATTGCAGTTTAATAAGTTAAGTACAACTTCCAGCTTCAAATAACTTGGTGTTTAAATAAAACTTATTTTTCTATACTACTTTATTGAGTAACATAACTTTTGGGCATTGAAAACATAAGTAGCTTATTGTACTTTGTGAGTATTGTAAAATCTTCGGAAAAGCCTTCAAACAGTTCATTTCTTACATAGAAATCTATTTAACGTCACAAAGAATTGTGCTATAAAGAAGAAATCATGAAAAATACCACTTAGGTGGTATTCAAACTAAGCAATGCGTTGCTTAAAATAGTTTTAATGAAATGGTTTCTGTTACGAAGATAATTTCGATGAAATGTTTATAAAAACTGATAAAAGAATGCAGAATTATTCTAAACAGTCTTGAAGTAGAACGAACATGAATTCAAAATGATCTAATTTGTACTTTCTATTAGATTTTTTTAATTCCTAATGGTTATTATTTTTAAATGTATGCATTCAACTGATAAAATGTTGTGATTTTAGACAGAACGAATATACAGTACATTGAAGAATTTTTTTAGGGTTTGTTATTCAAGTCAGTCAGTAATCAGTAGGATGTGAGTATCAACTCATTTTATCGAGTGGTTAGAAAAATCATGCACAAATGTAGGATCACTAATCAGGTCAACCTTAAAGGCAACCATTATCAGTGACAGGCCAATGGTCAACAATAACAGTTCAAGATCAAGGTATACTCTACAAGAGGTCAGTTTTAGTTCACTTCTACCTAAACTTTGTGCAAATGATATTGTCCAGAGCTTCACGAATAAAATATTTAGCAGAGAGAATAAAACTCCATCAAAAACATTACGACAACAAATAAATATGGATTGAATTCAGATTGAGGTAACTGGAGATGAATGATTACTACTACCAAGAATTAGTAAAACAAATCAAAATTGATGCACTAAATTCATAAATTGTATTTCTTTACAACTAACTTATTAAACCGCTCCATTTCTTGTACAAGTACAGTATTCATACTTTCTTCATATTTGACTGGATATTTTTTACATGCTTCAGATAAATCATAAGCATTTGGTAATTTACCAAGGATATCATTAGCTATTGCATCAATTCGTGCTTCAGCAGATCCACCCGCTTCCGATGATGTCTGACCAACAGTTAGAAGAATTGAATCGAACAATGTGCGTGTTTCACTCAACTCTCTTGTAATGTCAACATTTTCATGCATTCCAAACACTTCAGGTGCTTGTACAGCAGGTAAATTCTAAATGGACATATATATGTATATATCATCAAGATAAATTTGATATTACATTATATCATCGATAAAATACTCATCATCCATTATACAACAAAACTGAAAGATTGATTTCTCCTAATGATATCTTTAATCTGTGCTCAGCTCTGTGGACCCTTTACCCTTCTTTAAAAACAAAGATTCATTAATTAGACGCTGGAAAAATATTTCTAATTCTAAAAAATCATTATTATTGTAAAACTTATTTCATTACAATTGCACCGACTAAAAACTTGTATATAATCGTGTTACTTGATTAGTGATAAGTGAGACGATTCTTTGAATCAAAGTTCTTTTCTTGTCGACATTCATAGTCTGATATCTTTAGAGACTTCGATAACATTAGTTGTATAATAGTGCTACAGTAGGAGGCAATGACAATCTGCTATTCATGCGGTCTAGATATTAAAAACAGTGTCTGTCTGCGTCCAATGATTACATGACAGCATGTTCGGTATGAATAAAGTAATAATACTGACTAGATTACATGACGATGATTATGACTATAAGTGTTTAATAAATTTCTTATATCCACAAATCACACTAGTTAATGAGGTATCATTGATTAGTTATCTTCTAAGCTGAATAGTTAGAAACTTTCTCACTACTGACTAGTTTCGTGAGGTTCTCGGAGTTCTAGAGAGAAGCCGTGACCAGTGGAGTTCAACCCGATCGGGTGTAGGCAGTAACTACCGAAGACAATGGGTGAGGTTGAGCAAGATCCTTAGATTGGTCAGAGTTAGACATTACTACAGTTCAATACTGGTTTAAGGGTTTAGTGGTTAAGCGTTCGCTCGCAAGACTGAAGGTCCTGGGTTCGAATTTTGCGAGCTGCAGGAGTCGTGGATGCGCACTGCTGACGAATCCCATACCAGAACGAAACAGCCGTCCAGTACTTCCAGATTCCTATTGGTGGTTTAACAGTGATTCATCCAAGATTACAAGGTAAAACTGCGATCTCCAAAATATTCTAATGCAGAATAAAGATTATTTTACTTTAATAAGGAATCCATCGGAGGATTATTTAACGTCTTAGATTAGTATACATAGATAATAACTTGAGATATTTAATCTAAACTTCACAGTAATAGTTATTTTATTTTAAACCAAATAATTATATCATTTACAAGTATCTGTTCACTATTTAGTTTGCTTAATCTGTAATTGATGCATATGATAAAAAACTTGATAAAATGTATTGCGTTTGACTCACTTTAATAAATTCTAAATATTCATCGTATTCCATTTTGGGAGGAGCATAGTATAATCCACTAGGAGAAAATTTATAATGCTGATCATTTACAACATTTTGACATAAGAAATCTAATAGCATTGTCATTAAACATCGCCTGTCTCGTTCGTCAGTTACTCGACCACCATAGTTGCATTCTCCAGTCATGTACTGGATAGCATCATATGGAACCTGTGAATAAATATCAATGACGAAATATCACTGTTATCAGGGTTAAAGAAAAAAAAAACCTGTTTAGATCATCAGATGTAATTTGCTTTGAATAACTGCATCTACTATCCTGTTATATTTCGCTTTAATCTTATTTTTGAAATTCTTCTTTCTAACTCAGCAGCTTTGACTTCGCATTCTGGGAATAACCTGCTATGGCTATAACAGATATTCATATCACATTTCTCCGAATAAATAAATTTCAGAGTCTTAGTCAGTCAGTCAGTTACATCGTTAGTAATAGAGGTAGCAGAAACATTAACTGTATTCGGAAATTTCAAGGTTCAAGGATACTATTCAGGAAATAGAAGCTAGGGAAATAAGCTTAAAAAGAAAAAGATAAAGGTTAGAATTCGAGAGAACACAAAGAATGAAAGCAGCTGCACCATTGCAAACGGTTTTTAGTCATGTTATTCAGTATCTCTAACTATCGATTACCGTCATCGCGCGGGGCCCAACCAGGTAGTCGACACCTACCAACATAACTCAATCCAGTTTTCAGTCTTCGAAAAAAATCTGCTAAGTTAGGCCTCGTGTTGTCTTGTTTTGCCGAACAAACACTGATGCACTCAACAAAGATAAACTTCCATTTTGGGATCATCATATTGATGTACAGATATAATTTTGTTTGTTCTTTCAGAGTAAGCTGGCACTTTCTGAGCACATCAATGAAAGTTATCTAGTTTGACTTTTAAAAGAAGAATGCGAAATAATCAGTAACTCAATACATAAACAGTATGTTACTTCAAATGAAATCGTCCTTCAAAACAAACTACTCCACCAAAATAACTAGACAAAAAAAGAGGTTCCATGCAAAACGCATGAGCTACGCGGACGTTCGAAGTTCAATAATTTAAGTTTGAAATCTGCATGTAAAAGCAATACATGCAAACTCTCATCTTTCGACCCTCTTCTACGGTATATTTTATGCTTGTTCTATTTTGATCTGTATTTTGTACTTTTTAACCGATAATCAGTTATTATTATTCAATTGTTATTTTGAACTTTACAGTTTTCATTTTGTCGGCAAGATTATAATTTATAAATGAACCCGACATATTTAAGAAAGCAAGTTTTGAATTTTGGCACAAAATTCATTCATAAGGTTAATTAGCATTCTGGCATTATAGCTGAATTTCATTCATGATGAAAACCGTAAATCTAATTCCTAAATCTATAATTCTGCACACTAATTTGAAATACTCTTTAGAGCTTACTAATAGTTAAATTTTCTTAAGGTCACTTTGGCACCGCTCAAAATTTATTCACATTTGTTAAGGGAACAATCATCTATCATTTTTTGGCGCATAAATTGTTTTCATCTTTCCAATTTTCACTAATCTCTAAATTTATATGAAACTTTAATTTTCGAAATCTCGGATCAGCTCTTGGTTTAAAACTCTTTTTCTTCTTCTACAAACTAATTGAGATTTTGTAAGTATCATTATTTTGATTATATTACATCGTTTTGTCATATTGTGTTAAATTACTATAATTATACAGACCGATCTTATAGTTTTGTATAACTTTATCGGTATCATATTTGGTAGTATAGACAATGGAATTCAACAGTTATATTGTAAGTCGGGAATTCGCCTAAAATGTTTTTTGATAGTATTAATAATTAAAAAAGCGAAAATGACAACTTTCAACATTCAGAAGAAAAAATGCGGTAGTGAGAAGATATATTTCTATTTTGATGAGGATTTAAATGAATATAATACTATCCTCTTATGTGTGTTGCTCTAATTCACAAGCGTTTTTAAAAAGTTGGTTTTTGCATTATAAATATAAACTAGTTCATATATGGCCTACAGGCTAAGTATTCGCGTGCGAGGATAAAGGTCCTGGTTTCGATTCACGTTTGCGTAGGTCTTGGATGTGCAATGCTTGGCGGTCACATACCAGCACTTACTAAAACCAGTGGTTTCAGGTTCCCACTGGTGGTCTAGCAAATATTATTTCGTGATTTTACCTATGGGAATAGTATAGTCTACACGATTCCCATCATTAAAAATAATAAGTCGGTACGAATGAAGTGATAGTATGTTAGATAATAACGCGGCATATCCATAATTCTTATAATAAATAATTTCAAATAATCAACAAACTATATAAATGTTTTCATCACGGAATTACGAAGATCGTTTTTTTTACATTAAATCGTGAATCAATCACTGTTAGACCATCATCAGAAATCTGGAAGCACTGGATAGCCGTTTTGTCCTGGCATGGGACTCAACAGTGAGTATCCACGACTCCTGCTAACCGCGGGATTCGAACCCATAGCCTTCGGTCTTAATTAATCACTATCTAACATGATGATTGATTTACGATAGCAGACGTCATGGGTGCGCAGTGCTGACGAGTCCCGTACCAGGATGAAACGGTCACCCAGTGCATCCAGGTTTCGAATGGCAGCCTAACAATCAGTGATTCGCGATTTGAATGTAAAATAATTAAAGGATGAGATGGATGAAGTGATGAATATTGAGAGATATGAATTAGTAAATAAGTGAAATGCTATATATATATATATATATATATATATATATATATATATATTCATCGGTTGCGTTATGTTGGAGGAAAGTAACGGCAATGGGTTGTTTTCGTGGGCTGAATTATACAGGGTTCCGTAATGACAGAAAAACAGTTGCATGACCTTTCTCTCCTGATTATTGATTAGTTCACTATTATTGCCAATATGATCGATTACCTATTTAACAACTGACACATTGACTTGTGCACAACAAACCAAGTCATTAATAAGAGTTGGTTCTCGAGCTCCTTCTGAGCAAACGACCATTAGAAGAAATAAATTAGTTTTCTGTTTTATTCAATTCAATCATAACTCAAAACATGCGATAATAGCGAGAAAGTTTCTTATCGTTTTTTGCCAAAATTAATTGAGAGAAAACTAAAAAACCAGTCTGTAAAAAATTAACAGCAACTTCAGACAGATAAAACGTGTCATAGCAGCTGATGTTTCGCGAAAAACCTTAAATGCAGGAACATACAAAAAATTTAAGTACTTAACAGTTTTAGACAGAACAAAGTAACTCGCTCGGTCGAGCTCGATCACTGTGAGGGCTTGACATACATGAAATTAATCACTTCTAATCGATTTGTTCTGAACATAGAAACGATTTTCATTTGAAATAATCAAAAAAATATGCCTCTAAAATGTCAATGTAAGTGACAGCTTTGTGGATGACGATGATCTGTTGTACAGCATTAGCGTCATATTTAGTTCTGTAAACAAAATAAATACTTTCTGACACAAATAAGCCAAGTTCAAGATCAATGATTCATCTTAAGAGGGGACAAAACGCTTGGAAAGGCTTTTATTTCTGAGTAAAACTAATTTCTTTCTCAAATACTTACCTTTTCATATTCGTTTATAAACATTTGTAACTGTCTAACCGATATACGTAAATCTGATTCATTAAATCCATAGGGTATATTCCATCCAAGTGGACCAAATTTTATACGTTCTTGTACCAGAGCATGGAAGAAACACAATCCAAATAATAATTTCTCAAAAACCTGAAATCATTTACACATTGGTAGGATCAATTCCAAAAACAAACAAACAATAGAATAGTTTACTTGAAAATCCAATATTACTTACTCTAAACAATTTCTAATACTATAAATGAGATTTACATGAAGGTATCAACGATCATATTTTACTATTAATAATTTTTAAAGCTTTAAAGTCACTAAAACTAATCTTTAGTGATGCTTATGCTTGCATTTAGTTTATCTTGACTGAACAATTTCAAAGATTGTAAAGCATTAATTTTAATAAACATTTCTCAAAATCAATGACTAGGCAGTCAACTCACTGGTTTCAAAACATTCAATTGCCCATGGCACAATGAGTAGGTCTGATGGTTTTCTCAAAAATGTCTCTCATATATTACCTCTTGATTTACAAAATAATCAATAAATGTTACCTTGATCGGTCACAGATGTTTTATACTTTACACTATGATACTCAATAGAATCACCAATATGTCATTTAGCACAGAAAATATAATCTAACCAGCATTGTTCTTGCAAACCAGTTAATTCAAATGTATTGCTTTTAAACTGCATATATATTGCATTTTAGTTAAATTATTTACCCGATGTGTATATTTCAATGAGTATCACCTATAAATTAAACTTCTGTTGTAAATATTTCTCTCCAAAAGAGGATAAACTTGTCACATCATCGACCAGTATCGTAGTCAATGATAAAGATAATGTTTTTTTTTTATTGTTTTACTCATTCACAACATTGTACATATTTTGGAACAATTTTCAATGTCGAATCGATCGGAGTTGTGACTTTTGTTGCTACATTGTAATCTTTCTCTCGTCATGACTGGCTGCACTATACACATGACACATTCGTAATAGGATAGAGTGATATTTCTGTCGTACGAAACTTTGCATTGTTCATGACTTTCTGAGTACTGTGGATGGTAGAAGCTTTCAGTCGAAAATAATAACTAACTCCTGCTTCATTCTGTTTGATTTCAAGGTGCAACGTCAAAATGAATATCGACAGTGAAGTTTATCCCCAAGCTTTTCCTCGATTTATCAATTCATAATGTAGTTCAACTAAAATTACATTCTATATTTCGCACAACTGATAGTTTATAAATGGAGATGAACAATATTATCTTCACAAATTAAATAAATAATAACCTTCCATATTTTCTCTCATTAATCGATAGTCAGTCGGACAAAAAAAAGTACATTTTAGCAACGAAATTTCCTTTGGTGTTAAAACTTCCAGTAAACTGCTATTTTGTAAAAAGATTGCATCTACTGATTATGCAATAAAACATTAGTAATCAGTCTAATGTAAAGAAGTTTTCGTTGCATTTAGGATTTCTTGCAGAAAAGAAACATTGAACCAAAATGCTTGTTTTCCCTAGACAGTCTGCTGCTGTTAAGTAGTAACCTTTAAGATAACATTTTATTTTTAGCCGAAAACAATAAATCTAGATGATCGTTGTTATAATTGAAAACCAACTATTCTCATCAAGTTAGTCAGCTGGACAATTTTAGAAATCACAGTGAAAAACGTTTCTAGCAAAATGTCAACGTGATCTAAAGGAATTCATTAAAATCCGACAAACTACGATTCCGTAATTCGCTATTTAAAGATACATACACACAGTACTAACAAATAAATGTCAGTTGAGAGAAAATGTTTCTGAGAACTTTTGCACACATAATAAATTGACATTTAATAAAAGACATATTACGTAAGATGTTAATGAAACCAATGTTACAGAAATGTTATCGTGATTCTATTCAAACAAGAAGTATTTTCATCTTGCATCAGTTTATATAGTTATGGACAGTAATAACTTAATCAATTGTAGTGCGAATAACCTATGACACTGATTGTTTTTCTGATTATCTGTAAAATGTATTCACTTATTAAGAAGGATGATAGATGCCTAATTATGTGATATGAAGAAATGTGTTCACACTGTTAGTTATTTAATTATCATTGTTAAACAGAAATCAGTTCAATTTCTACAAATTTGCCTGTTAATCCAACCGTGAATAAATTATCTAGTAAGTGGTGTCTCCCTGAATCATTTTGGTAGTCGAATAAACCCTTGTTACCAGTATTTGGTTTCGCATTTGGCACCAGGACGTGCATTTCATCTCATTTTGGACATATCAGCAGCTCGATGCACCTGGAATTAAGTGAATGCCTTTTCCACGACTCGAAATCACTACTATTCACTTCAAATACCATCATGGCATCCACTTATCCATTTAGTTCGGAATAGTTACCGGGTCTTGAGAGGCGATGAAGTCTGATTCAATTGTACTGGTTGTTTGAACTGTCCCGCGGATGTTAACAACTGTAACTGATCAGTGCCTTTTCATGTATTTTTCCGTTATTCTTAATAGTCAGGCTCATATTGTTATACTTTAGCCTCTGATAAATAAACGAGAATGATCAATATTGTATATTGTTTCTCCGATTAGAAAAAGGGGCTCACCAACCCCCATCATCTTAACTATTTTTGAAAATTATTTTTACCATAACAAAAATAACATTCGATCATACAATCAGAAGTCGTATATATATGTTTGTTTCTTTTTTTACTCGAAAGTAGTCAATAGTTTTGTCAATTTACATCGCAACAATATTAAATTCTCATCAATCAATCATTGTTAGACCAGAATTGGAAACCTGGAAGCACTGGACGGCCATTTCGTTTTGGTATGGGACTCATCGGCAGTGCGCATCCACGACTCCTGCACCTCGCAGGATTCGAACTCGGGACCTTCGGTATTGTGCGCGAATACTTAACAGTGAGTGATTGATGATTTTGAATGTGTGAAAGAGACTAATCTACATAACTCTAATTGAAAATATCGTAAAAGGTGCTTATTAGTGACTAGCTTCGTGAGGAAATTCTCGCAGTTCTAGTGAGAAGACGTGACCAATGGTGTTCAACCTTGTCAGGTGTGGGCAATAACTACCAAAGACAAATGGGTGAGGTCACGCAAAATTCCCAGATCAATCAAAGTTGAACATCAACTTTGTTGGATGCCGGCCCAGTGATCCAGAGGTAAGCGTTCATGCATAAGAATGAAGGTCCAGGGTTCGAATCCTGAGAGGAGGCGGAGTCGTGGATGAGCATTGCTGATGCGTCCGATACCAGGACGAAATGGCAGTCCAGTGCTTCCAGGTTTCTAATGAAGGTCTAGCAATGATTGCTTGATGATTTCAAAAATATGTAAAGCACTAATCTCCATAACTCTGATTAAAAATATTAAATTCTATTTGTCAAGAGCATAAAAAATAACATCTTTCACCAACTATATGACAAAAAATTCCTTTCCGGTGAATTACAAAGAGCCTGTTTTGACTACACTGTAGTTTACTGGTTAGAAAAGTTCACAAGCACGAAAACTTCATTCAACCTACTAACTGAATTAAAGCGGCAAAAATATATATTTTTAAACAACATTAACTGTCAAAACTAAATCTGAAAATAATCCTTCACAATAGGTAGTAGGTGTCAACCCTTTCTTTCGGAGATTGTTATTCATTGAACTGGACAATTGTAACTATTTTTAAATTCTTACTTTTTCTGAAAAGATATTTACACACGGACATAATATTGTTTTTGTTCAAGGAAATTGAACTAAAAATCACATTTTCATAGTTAAATATATGAAGTCATTTTAAATGCTTAAAATTTAAATGATTATTCTAGTCAGTTCTTTGAAGATAAGAAAAGAGTAATTTAAAAGCATGCAGAAACATTATTGGATTGGCATAATGAAAAATGAGAACAAAAAGTTCAAAGAGAACAAAATGTGAGTTTCGGTATTCATGCCAGATGAAACGTTTGAATCAGATTTTACGAATATCGTTCATATTTGGTGGCCAGTGTCTCACTACTTTCGTGACGGTCGGTATTCAACGTGTTCTTAGACTTCGTAATTCGCTCGTCCAGGCAACAGTTACTAAATAGCGCCTCACGGTTTATAAATCAGAAGACGAATACGAAGTATTGATTACGTTTATTTGGCACATCACTATTAGATCACAAACCACAGGCACACGGCGCGAAAGGCCAAACAACCGAACGAGTGAGCGAATTGGAGAATGAATTTATGAGATTAAAATGTACATAGGAAAATGACTGAGTCATCGAAATATTTAAGAGGTTAACATTGAAGCGAATAGGATGAATATGCACGTATGCGGTAAGCAGTGTTCAGTCGTACTAGGTCATATACACCAGACAATATTAAAAGCCAATAGTACATTAAGTTATGCTATACGAATGGCTTGTTTAAATAAGTTAATCAAAAGGCTTGACCGAATTAAATATGAGCCAACTCAAATGTATGCGGAGACACTACACATCATAAACAGTATTGTGAAAGTTGAATTATCTTCAAAAATCGCTATTTTGAACAATCGTTAAAAGAGTATTTACATGTACCCATCATAAGTTCGAAGTTAATCCTTTCATGGAATCAGATGCTGAATGACTTTTCAATTAGAGTTATGGAGATTAGTGTTTCTACACACTTGAAATAATCAATCAATCATTGTTAGACCAACATTAGAAACCCAGAAGCACTGGACGGCTGTTTCATCCTTGTATGGGACTCATCAACTGTGCGCATCCACGACTCCTGCACCTCGCAGGATTCGAACCCGGAATCCTCGTTCTTATGCGCGAACACTTACCTATGGACAACTGTCAAAACACAAGAATCAAGTCCAAAATCTTACCAAATATAAATTTTTTACACATATGGATATTTGCAAAATACATCACGGTTGATAAACCATTCAAATTAAAGGTCGACATTTTATCAATAACTACATTTTCAAGTAAATGTTATTCCCACTAAATTGCAAACTTATTCTAATCCCAAATTAATGATGAATGTAACTTACAGGCTCTTTGTTTGGGCAACCATTGAAGAACTCTGGATCAGATATTGGATCATTTAAATAAGATTGTAAGAGATTTTGTCTCAACCCAGTGGGTGGTTCATTTGTCATTTTAATGCCATTTTGCAGGACTGTAACTGGAAACTAAAAGAAAATGTTAGCATATTTAATGGTAATACTCTACTAATTCGTTGAAAATAAATAGACTTCGAAGTAATGTTGTACTTGGACAATGGTGAGCACTGATGTTTTGCATGGGACAAACACCTGAATCACAATATGTCATAAATGACCTTTGAAAAACTGAAATGTTTACATTATTTTTTCAATTAAGCAATAGTTGACGTTATTCTGTTGCGTTTTCTCAATGCTGACCTAATTATACGTATCAAGCTGATACTTGGGTATAGGTCACAACAAATTATCACCTCTGTGTAATTCATTCAAGGAAATGTTATGATACGAAACCTAAAAATCTGGTATAACAGTCAAATCTTAAGTGATTGGAAAGTGTACAACCTTCAAACCAATTTCCTTCAAGCGCTTATGACAACTTGTAATTTGTACTTTGTGTTAACGTGTTTGTATGTCAGCATTTTGTCAAATGAAAAATGTCTATTTTCCTGGTTAGTTTTAGTAGCTTTGATTTTATATTATTTTGAGAGCAGTATCAATAATTTGACCTAATGAGCAGCCGTCATTCAGCCATATTGTGACATAACATTTAATCCGACAAGCAATATTTTGCTAATTAATTTGACGATTATAAATTCGTCCAGCAAGTCCTTAAAATATTGCATAACAGTTGACAGGAGGTAAACGACCATAACCTTGAACCTAGTTGTCGAGTTAACTAAATTACTGCCAAAAGTCTTTTTCATCGATGTAAGTAAAAATTAACAAGATTAAAGTTATTTAGAGCGATTAATCAAATCAAAGTTAAGACAATTCAAAAGTGAACCTTCAGTTTGAAAGAGATATTTTATATAATTTTGTGAAACTAAAAGCATTTTTTCAGTTGAGTTGAATAGTAGCAGCAGCAACGGAAATAGATTTTGTAAATCATTCTTTTTGACTCTGTTGATAAGTATTTATTACCGATATAAGTGAATGTTTTTAATGTAGGAATCTTTTATATTTTAAACCACGAAACCACCATCGAAAATCCGGAAATAATGGATAGCTGTCTCACACTAGTATAGGATGCCTCAGCAGCGGACGTTTACGAGAGTCGAACGCAAGAACTTCAGTTATGCCAACAAACGTTTGAAATAAAGACTACTGAGACGCCACTCAGCAGTGTTCGTTCATGACTTCCATTCTCAGTTGTGAATGTACACTGTTAAGGAGTCCTGTGCTAAGATGGGGCGGCCTTTCAGTACTTCCAGATCACCTTGTCATGTTAACTTGGAAAATAAATATTTGTTCTCACATGCATGCACAAATTTAGTGTTGATTGAAATCATAAAGCTGATTATAGATATCTGATTGATTGATTGATTAGTTCTACAAATATCCTGAGATAATTATCTTACAAATAAATGAATAAATAGATGTACTAACAGTAGATTTCGGCTGAAGTTATTCTGAATATTATCAGTGACGATCAATTAGTCATCTGGAACTTTCAGTTGCACTTTAACATTATGAGGAAATAAACCGACATGAAGTACTCTTAAAGTTTTCTTCGATTAGTAGCATTACTTACTTATTTACGCCTGTTACACCAATGGAGCATAAGCCACCCACCAGTTTTCTCCATCCTAATCTGTCCTGGGCTTTCCTTTCTAGTTCTTTCCAGTTTCTGTTCAATCTTTTCATATCTTTTTCTATTTCTCGGCGTAATGATTCCTTGGCCTTCCTCTTTTCCTTTTGCCTTGAGGGTTCCATGTGAGAGCTTGTCTCGTGACGCAGTTAGGTGCTTTCCGCAATGTGTGTCCTATCCACTTCCACCGCTTTTTCCTGGTTTCCTCCTCCACAAGAATCTGGTTTGTTTTCTCCCACAGTACGTTGTTAGTGATCGTGTCTGGCCAACGAATACGAAGTATTTTGCGTAGACAACTGTTAATAAACACTTGTATCTTCTGGATGATGGCTTTGGTAGTTCTCCAGGTTTCCGCTCCATACAGTAGAACTGTCTTGACATTTGTATTGAAGATCCTGATTTTGGTTTTGGCTGAAAGTTGTTTGGAGTTCCAGATATCTTTCAACTGTAGAAATGCAGACATCGCTTTGCCAATTCGCGCCCTCACATCTGCATCCGATCCACCTTGATTGTCGATGATGCTGCCCAGATATGTAAAGGTGTTAACGTCCTCCAAGGCATCTCCATCAAGAGTGATTTGGTTGGTGCATGTTGTGTTGCATCGGAGAATTTCGCTTTTCCCTTTATGTATGTTGAGACCTACTGCTGCAGAGACTGCTGCTACACTGATCGTCTTCTCTTGCATTAGTTGTTGCGTGTGAGATAGAAGAGCCAGGTCATCTGCGAAGTCCAGATCGTCCAGTTGCGTCCTAGCTGTCCACTGAATACCGTGCTTCCCTCCAGATTTTGACATCTTCATAATCCAGTCGATCACCAGGAGAAAGAGAAAGGGTGAGAGTAAGTAACGTTGCCTGACACCGGTCTTCACCTCAAACGAGTTTGTCAGCTGACCTCCGAGCACGATTTTGCGGTTTAATCCATCGTAGGAATTGTATACGATGTTGACTATTTTCTCAGGCACACCGTAGTGTCGAAGAAGCCTCCTTAGTGTTTTCTTGTCAACGCTATCGAATGCTTTCCATAGTCAATGAATACTAACTTGCCAGAACAAAGATTAGTAGCATAGTGGATATAAATTTTGACTAGCAATCACTTGATCATAGGCTAGAACTTATATCTTATTCAGAAAATTGTAATCATTACACTCATTATTATTATTATTATCATTATTTGAAACAAATATTTGAACATTAATGAGAAGAACTGGAAAATAACTGATTGTATAATTCAAATTAACGAAGTCTAGTTTGGATTTGTACATGTACTAACACATCACTTGAACTTGAAAAAAATTCAGATCCGTTAAATAATAAAAGTCTTCATGACAACTCGGGTATGTATTTCAGTGATTTATTTCTCATATAAGAAATTTCCAATGATTTACTATTTAAATTCTGTTAGAACAATGAGTAGACGGAGTTTATCTGAAAAATGTCTATTTGCGTTATGCATTTCGAACAATCTGGTCAATTGTCAAGGCATTTTATATGAAAATCAATAAAAGGTCAATTAATTAGGAGTTCAAATAAACATCAGGTGTTAATTGTAAATTAATATATTATGTCTGATGACTGGATAAACATGGGAAATAGAAAACCATGTTCATCAATAGCACAACACATAAATGAAACGGGGTACTGGACTAACATCTTTGACAGCTTTCTAAACGTTGTATTGAAATGTTCAAGGACGGATTCATTGATTCATCCTAACTTATGTGAATACAAACAATTTGTTGTAACCTTTATGGCCTAGGATAATGTGACAGTTTCTTATTCTTTATAATTTAATTCTTTATAATTTATAATTTATAATTTATAATTTAATTTTCTCTCTCCCTTATTTACAGTTATCACCTTATGTTTATTTGAACTTTTATTTAATTGACCTTTTATTCATCTTCATATAAAAATGCCTTGACAAGTATATATGTGTTCAGATTGTTCTAAATGTATAGCGTAAATACATTACATTTTTCAAATCCACACCGTCCTTTCATTCTTCTGTCAATATTTATCAAAGGGACCAATTGTTTTAAATCACTAGTTGAAACTTGTTAAATATTCAATTATTTCAAAACACTAAGATAAATAAATTTCATGTATTCATTCGGAAAAAATTTTATCCGACAAATATTTATTATTCATTTTCACTTATCAACGAGTTGAACAAAGAAAACACAAATATCTGATTACTAATTCATAATGATGCATGTATCAGTGAAATAGTGTTGTTCTTAAATTAAAGTTTCATTTCATTCGATAACTGGTATTTTGGATGAACGTTTTTTTTTTTTATGAAAAAATTTGGAACAAAGAAATCCGGCGAAAGTTATCAAATTTGAATTGTCAGCCAGCATACCATTAACACAATCAAAACATATGAAGTACAGGTTATACATTTTCTCATAAGATAGATATTTGTAAATGTATAATCTTTGTGGCCAAGAATAAGGTTGATAAAAATGAGTTGGTCAGAGTGGCAGTGAAAATGTATGGTTCTATGCCGGAGAACTGAACGCTTAATGATTAAATTATTAAAAATGCAAGAGGTTTCAGGAGATTGTGAAGTATTACTGTTTAAATTACAGCTCAACCGAATTAAGACAATTGTCGGAAAGTGGGAAGTACTCACATGAAAGTTCTCACATGAAACTCATTGATAATAGTCCTTCACGACCCATTGAGCTTACAGGGAAAACTAAGGGTCTTGTACTCAATGATCAATTTGTTTTTCTGTTTGTGTCCATGTGCAAATATTAAAGATAGAGATGTTTTTATTTCTGTTTACGCTGCAAGTTAAGTGATGAAAGTTAGTGGGTTTTGTTATTCTGAAGGTATCAAACAAGTTCCACTTTTACATTTCATGCATTTGAAAATATATTTTTTCAAAATTGTAATAATGCGTTTTAATTTTTATAACTATGCAGGTTTCAATATTTATTCTTTGTATATTTTATAGTTTCGTGAAGCACCCAAGGATAAGATTTCTGACTTCTTATGAAACTAGAAACTATGAATAGAAGCCAAACTTAAGAAGCTATAAAATTGATTACAATACGCCTAACAGATTAATAGGTTAAAACTGATATACGAGTATATTAATTGTATAAACAAACCTTTGGTGATGGATAACTCGTAAGCCATAGACGAAACGATGGATTTGTATTCTCCGAGGTCATATCTTCACAAATCTTTTCTAGTGCTGTCATCCAACTCACAGCTAAATGACAGTTTTGTAATAAGACCCAAGATCCTTCTTCTTTGCCTTGAGCGATCATTTTTGCTGCTATGGGACCCTGACCCTGTCCAAGACTAATAGACTGAAAACGATCACCTCCAAAACCTTTGTCTGTGGCAAATTTCAACAATGCCATCGTTGGATCAGCTCCAGGAGAAAGAATGAAAATGAGTGGTGTTGTACAACTTGAATCATGATAAGATTTAGCTAAATCGAACGGTGGAGGTTCAACAAATTTCCTGCCCAACTTCTCCCTGACATAATTCATTACACCAGGAACTACCTAATTTGATTTAAAAAAGAATGATGTAATTGTGAGTGTGATTTACCAGAAGATGATAAAACATTGTTGAATTACACGCAACTACCTTAAACTACTTCACATAGTGATGAGTTGAAATTATAATATACAAATATAAGCCTATATCAGTAGTATCACTACCAAGGTTTAATAGGAAAAATGAGGGATTAAAAGTGTTTTAAGTAATAATTTATTTTGGCTATGATTAGTGGAATCGCACATGCATCTAGTTTAAATCACTCATCACTCCTTAACATCAGATCACAAACGAAGATGAATTTATCCATTTCTGACCACTGATCTGGGACTGTGTTTTGTACTCTCAACGAATCTATATATTTTAGACTATCCGGTCAGATAACCGATATGCAATAATCTGTCATTCTCTTAATCTCTATTTAAACTTCTCAAATAATGGTTTTTATACTACGAAACCGTAATATGAATTGATTTTTCAGCAGAAGATAAATAAATCAAATCCACAAAAAAGTTGATACAAACCTTATCTGGACGTATGCATCGAAGTACAATCAAACTTTTAAATATATCCAATTGATCCCATGGTTCAGGTAATTTATTTTCATGTGGATCTTTACTATCATAATATTGTTTCCATTCATTTAAATGTGTAGTGAAATGTTCACGAAATGTTTCAAGTCCTTTTATTGTTGACATACGACATATTTCATCCCAACATTTATCGGATAACCAACTATTGGCTGGATTAGCTAATTTATTTTCTAATCCAACTCCACCAGTTAAAAAGAACATGAATTCATCCATTTCTAATTCTCCTCGAGATCTAGAAAAAAATTTCAAGTGGATTAATGAAAAAAAATATATAACTTCATTGAAATGAAGGTAAATCACAAACGGATTCTAAAAATAATTTATTATTGATTTAGTTTAATTCTTTCTATTGACTTGACATTTATGAATATTATCAATCTTATGTTTAAGGTATCAGTTGTTGAAACCTTAAAGAAATTATTATCATTACGAATAACGGGTGGATACACTAATACATATTCTGATATACATTTAAATTATTACGTTATAATTATGTGTGATTGTTGTGGACGTTAGATAGCCAGAACTCACTTGATAAATGTCTTAATTTTGGAGTTTATTCATGAGCTGATCAGTTAACCTTGAGATCACATTTCCCACCAGGAAAATCCTTGGCTGTGATTGGTTTGTGTGTTATTTTAGTGTGCTGTTTTTGTGACTCTCCCAAGGACGTTTCTATGATTTATAAATAAACGCGATTTGTGTGGTTGTTGGGTGTTTGTAGAGTACAACTTCTACTCTATATCAACACTTTGTCGTTAGTTCCTTTGGGTCTACGGATCAGAGTACCATAACGTGTCACTAATTCATTGTCTCATTCTCATTTATCGACTAAGGTTAGCCCGTAATAGCTTCAGGCATATCCAATGACGAGCATAACAGTGATTCAGATTTCTTAATAGATGATAAATTGACTTTCATTCACATACAAAAATCCAAAGTTAACTGATAATCAGTCTTAAAATACACTTGAAAATATCAAGCTTAAACATTAAAACACCAAATACATCAAACAGGCTTGATTGATATTAAAAATTGAATCTATGAGGACGACGGTTCGAAACAGTCGAATGCCAGTGAAATATGGTCTTCTTTTCACCATGTTGCAGGATATGTAGTTTTTACGAATACAGGTTTATGTGAATAACAATTGGTTAACAAATTAAAGTGTATTGTTTTTTTGTGATAATTTTTTCAAGAACATCTAGATGTTTTTTATTAACAAAATCAACAGTTTACTGTTATCCGTGAACAATTATCAAAATCAGTGTAACCAATCTATAATAAGCCTTAAAAAAAGTAAGAATTAGCTACATTTATTAGAGTAAATTGTTCATTTTGTGTCCACTCTGCGAATGCCATTCTGTTATAATGGGATGAGCATTCGTAATGTTGGAACTTTCAGAACTACTTTTCAAATAATTATGGTTTATAGTTTTTATTGTATAATTAGAAAATAATTGTTATTGTCTTCCTATATTTTCTTTAATGTGAGCATCTAATGAGCTTTCCTCCTCCATCAAACACTTATGGTATGATTATGGTTAAAGTATAGTTTATTATCTGGAATGATGTTAAGACTCTTGTTGCTTGAGTTTTGAGTTATAATTGCATTAAATACAACAGAAAATAGGCCTAGTTCCTATTGTGTCTCTTTAATTGGCTACTGGCCAACAAACATTAATGATTTGGTTGTTTTCCACTGATTGATGTGTCAGCTATTCAGTAGAAGGTTACTGGTCTTCCGAGAAATATCAGTGAACTGGCCGATAATTAGAATTCTGATTGGGCCCATACAACACGTGATCTCGATCAGCATTCTCAACATATAAAATTTTAACAGTTTAAAAATCCTGATCAGATTCAGAAATTATTATACATTTTTAGAATACTCTTTTGAATAAATACTCTTCAGGCACTGCAATGATATTCTGTAATTAATAATTCAAAGATTGCTCAGGTTTCAGACGAAATACATTGTTTACAATTACCGTATGTGAAGTTAAGATTGTAAAATAAAAATATAATTATTGATATAATGTTAACTTGGATCGGTCTATACGTTAAATGAAATCGTGAGTTTATTTATTCATCAGGATATCTACAGGTCAAATAGAGTGAGAGAGATAAAAATGCAGTTATCGATTCGACATACTGGTAACTGTATACAGTTTATATGAGTTCATTGAGGTGGAGTGAATGTTGAATAAATTAATCATGTATTCGAGACTATTGAAAATGCTAGGCCGATAATGATAATAATAAACACAACAGTCACCCTGACCGCGGATTGATAACAGTGTTCAGTTGGAGCTTTGGAGATTTGTGTTTTTACACATTTGAAATAATCAATCAACCATTGTCATACCACCATTAGAAACTTGGAAGGACTGGACGGCCGTTTCGTCCTGGTATGGGACTCATCAGCACTACGCATCCACGACTCCTGCACCTCGCGGGATTCGAACACGGGACCTTCGGTATTGTGCGCGAACGCATGATCATCGACCACCGGGTCGTCATTCAACGGTGTTAATGCCTAACTCTGATTGATCTATGGATTTTGTGCGACCTCACCCAACTGTCTTCGGTACTTACTGATTACACCCGACAGTGTTGAACTCCACTGGTTACGTTTTCTTACTAGAACTCCAAGAATTTTCTCATGAAGCTTTTCACTAGTGAGCACTGTTACGATATTTTCAGTTAGAGTTTTGGAGGTTTGTGTTTTTACCCACTGGTCCAATGGTTAGGCGTTCGCGCACAATACTGAAGGTCCCGGGTTCGAATCCTGCGAGGTGCAGGAGTCGTGGATGCGCACTGCCATTGATGAGTCCCATACCAGGAACAAGCGGCCGCCTTTCAGTGCTTCCATGTTTCTAATGGTGGTCTAACAATGATTGATTGATGATTTCAAATGTATGTGAGTTAGTCGAATTTGGTCATTCTGTAGTTAAACTAGTCATAGCGACATAATAAGTCAATCCTTCTCAATACCTTACGAGGTTAGTAATGTCAAAATTGGTCTGAGTCAATGTTTTTCAAACGGCAGTAGCAATAGCCATTCAGATTATAAAACTAGAACTATGTAAACAACAGATTTATAGATAAGCATTCAAGTTAACATTAAATATTGGTTGTATCAAAACTAGTCATTTTATTTCAGTAAAAGGAATATATGAACATTGCATTTTATTTTCATAATTTTTGAAATCACAAAATGGTCTTGGCTAGACCAACAGAGGGTTAAGATTGGCATATGATTTCAAATGTGATTATTATTTTTAGATTACAGACAATCCTAAATTCGAATACTTCAATTTTAAATGATGCATTTTCTATTAAACATGGTCACGTTTTGAATTATTAATTTGAGAAGATAATTGTAGAAATTAAAGAGAAATTTGATTTTTAAAAAAATATATATTTCAGTATTAGGATCATTTGTACTCGTAGGCATGACTTGTCGCAATCTCCACTTTTCTTTACACGGATATGGTAAACCAAATGAACCTCTCAGTAAGTAAATAAATAAGTCAGCAAAAATAAAAGATAAATTTAGAAGATTGAGACTACTAAACTGACTGATAAGTAAACATAGAGAATTTTGTTAAAATACATTTCAAACAGCAAAAACAATGCAGGAAAAAAACAACAACTTGATCAAAACAATTCGACTATCTATCACGTGTGTATGATTGATTAGTTGAAGTAAGAAAAGTGAACAGGTTTATGCTGCAGCATAGAATTAACTTTGTGTTATTTAGTTCCACTATTGATTTAAATAAAATGTAGTCTAATTATTGTGATGAATATTATAAGCAATGGATATGTATGATTTATGTGATCAGTTTTCATATTTTGATTTCTACTCACATGATTTTAGTTAGTCGTACACGAACGTAGAATTTGATCTTAAATTTTATAAACATTCAAACCCTTCCTTTATATATATATACATATATATTTATGATAGTTAGTGCTAAATTTTAAAGTCTTGATTTAGATGTTAAATTAGTTTTCAACTCCTAATCGGTTTTGTAATGAAAACTGGTTTTTGAACAAAATAAGTTTTCTATTTAAGTATTTGACTAAGTAATAATTTTCATGATATAAATCACAAATTAATCTTAGCTTATCCATCACTGAAAACCTTGAAGCATTGAATGACCGTTTCTTCCTAGTGTGGAACTCCTCAGCGATTGCGGTCGTGTATAGGCACCGCTGAAGAGTTTCTTACATGGACGGAAAGACTGTCTAGTACTTTCATGATTTATAAGGGTCTAGCTTAGTTAGATCAATTATTGATTTAAAGAATAATTGATCATCATTTGTTAACAGATGATTAGATTTGTGATGGATTTCTAGTATTTCTATTGAGATGTCATGAATGTGTAGTCAATTGATCTCTGACTGAGATGATAACTCACAGCCAACAATGGAAGAGAAACGCCCAGCATCTTACACTTATTAGAATTAGAAACATGAATCACAATGTTCTAATCGATTAGTTGATAGATATCATACTCAATAGAGGATAAGATAAGTATAATATTCTGTCTGAAATAATTCGTTTGGGAAATGGGAAATCATATCTAGTTGACTCTCATGATGCTCTGGTTACTGCAAGTTCGAACATTAAAGTATCTGTATCTGGACATAGTTCTTCAGACGATCTCATCCGTGATACTTTGTCTAGACCGGAAATATGCGTCGTTCATTTTCATCCTACGCCTGTGTCTGAATCATGGCAGCGAAAATTATATTCTGTACTGCGTAGTCTACACCGTAGAACCTATTCTTGAATCGGAGCTGGGCTTTGCTGTTGTATATTGCTCAATAAAGTTATATTGCAATCCAGATAAACGCTGTCGTAAGTGACAATTAGTTTCTTCCGTTTTTAAACGTAATTGTTCTTTAATGTTTTATAACATATTCGGAAGCGGATTTTATCTTATATAAAGAAACATATAGTTAGATGGAAAATAAACTGAATGTTTAAAATTTTGTGCTTTTAACATGTGAGTCATTGTTCTAAAATTGCCCAGGATTTTCCCTATCAAGATATGCGTTTCCTGAAAGGCAGTAGTTTGTTATTGACGGGTCTTAAGTAAATGTGTCTTAAGTTCACCATTATGTAATTGGAACATTACACCTGCAAAAATCAAAGGTTCTTAAATGCATGTGGAAGTGACATAACAGTTACCTTTTTCGAAATACTAATTTGATCTT